AGAACATTATGCACCAATTTTTTACAGCCTCTATTGTATTTGACGTCCATACATGTGCATACATGCCTGACCACGCAATCTTTAGAGAGGCCCTCACAGGGAGCAGGCGGAAGAGGGGGTGTAAACAGAAGGAGGGCCACGCGGTGGAATACTGCACTATTAGCGTATTGCACTACTCAAGGGAGGATCTCGCAAATCACTTTTCACTGTTTTACAACGCGGTTTTACTTGAAGAAATCCGTTACAATTGATTGATTATTGTCCAAGTTTTGTTCTCTCTTCAGCGTCATACGCTTGCAGCAATGTACGCTTTGCTTTTCTGAGAGGCATGTGTGTGGTTTTCGTGAACAAGGGTGAGCGAGGCGGGTTGTGGACGCAAAGACTGTCACCAGGTGATGGGTTTGCGGACGGGCAGTGGGGGAATTCAAGTGAGAAAAAATGAAGGGCGAGAGGGCAGGAGGGTGTCAAGGAGCGGGATGTGGGAGGGGGATAGGACGTAGCCGTTGGGAAAGGGATGTGGGGATTGGTTGTTTAAAGGAGTCGTAGAGGAGTCGGGTATCTGCCGGGGTCAACGGCCTGAGGCCTGAGGGGCGGTGGGGGGTGGGGCGAAGCATATACACTGGGCGATGTAGTACATCGGATGTACTGTAGTGTACAGTTGTGTAGGAGATGGGTTTGGGATTGGAAAGGGGTGGGAACTTTGGGGCCAGGGGTTTTGGGAAGAGACGGGGGGTTGAGAAAAAAATTAAAGAAAAAGAAATGGTTGGATAGCTGGATAAACATGAGGTGTGGTGACCACATGTGGTGGATGGATAAACTTGAGGTGTGGTGACCACATGTGGTGACCACACCTCATGTTTATCCAGCTATCCAACCATAGTGGTATCCACTACCACCACACTGTGGCGGTAGTGGTGACGGTAGGTGGCGGATAGCAAGATGAGATGCACAAGACGCAAGATAGAATGGCTGTGATAGAAGCGATGTTTTTAGACTTTGCCACTTTGCTCGCGAGAGAGG